ATGTGATCTGATGTCTTCGCAGTTGCCTACACTTTTGAACCCGGATTTTCTTGCTTCTGGCTTGAGCCGTGGATTTTATGAATATGTGAATAAAGTTGGCGAAGCTAGAAGCAAACAGGTTCGAGCCTTCGTGTATCGCTAACTGAGTTGACCTCGAGTTCTCCAACTGATTTTGTTATTCGACTTCAAGGAAGAAGAACGATTTGTAGCTGAAGAACTTTCCTCCCTCAAATCCAAATTAAATCATCCCAATATCTCTTCCGTAAAAATTTTTTGACTTTTTTGTTCGTTGACCTGATATTATACCAAATTGTAACATTTTTTACTTCCTCTTGTAATGAAGACAAAAATTAAAGATTACATAACAAGATTGATTTATTGCGATATGCTGGGGTATAATGTTGAATTTGGTCATATTCATGCTGTCAAATTGACTCAAAGTGCCAAAGGATTATGGGACAAACGCGTTGGTGAGTTAATTTTGTAGTGCGGACGATCGACATATTTAAAGGATTTGATTGTTAAAAAAAATGACATTAGGTTATCTGGCGTGTTCCCTATTCTTACACGAAACACACGAGCTTAGTATAATGCTAATTAATACATTACAAAAGGTTATTTATTATTTTTTTTTTTATCTTTTTTTCTGAAATTCTTGCACATTTCACGACCTTGTTATTGAACTTTAGGATCTGAGGAGTAGTAATCATCTTGAAGTATGTTCAGCCCTAACAGCTCTATGTCATGTAATGAATCCAGATATGATACCAGCAGTATTCAAATTCGTGGAAGAGAAATTGTCCCATCCAAAGTAAATTACATTCTCATAATGGCCCGTTTATGTTTAAGTGTCTTTTCGTTATGTATTTGCGATTCATTTGCAACTTGATATTTTTTTGTTAAGAGATTTAGTCAGGAAGAAAGCGATTATGGTTTTTAATAGATTGTTTCACAACGCACCGGACTTAATGACACACCTCGATGATAAATTTCGTCAGATGTTATCTAATAGGGACCCAGGAGTGTTATGCGCGATTCTATCTCTTTTTGTGGATTTTGTCAAGGTAAGTTTTTGTTGACAGAAGGCATCGATACATTGGTTTCAGTCATAGTTATGAACTCTTAATTTAAGGCCGATCCAAGTAAATACAAAGATCTTATCCCTGTTCTTGGTAACATTTTGGAGCAAGTGCTTGATAGATGGTTACCTCGTAGTTACGATTATCACGGTGTTCCGGCACCGTGGGTCCAATTGAAGATAATAGAAATCATGGGATTGTTGGCCAAGGATGATGAAAAGTAATGATGGGCTTGTCTGTTTGCTATTCTATGGAATCATCAAAGTTTACATCTTTCTCATGATATTTTTTAAAGAATAAGCTTGGAAGTTTGTCCGCATATTGTTCACACGCTCAAAAAGGCCGAGAATGGAGTAGATGCTGCATTTGGTTCATTCATCATCTCATTCCTTTCCTTTCTTCCGATTATGATTCGTTTTCGATATTTACACCAATTTTTTATTTAGCAATAATATTCGAATGCATAAGGGCTATATCACTGTTGCATCCGCAAGCCCTATCAAAATTGGTCCATAAATCCCTGCCTCTCAATCCACTCAGCGTGATAACTCGATTTTTGAAGTCGCATAATCACAACCTTAAATATTTGGGTCTGATTGCGTTGTCAGAGGTTGATACTGTTTGGTGGGTGGAGGGTCAATGGTGGGGTGAAGAGCAAATGAATGTTATTGTGGAATGCTTGGAAGAGAAGGATGATACCTTGAGAAGAAAGGTTTGATAATTTTTTTTTTTTTTTTTTATGTTTTCAACCTTAGGAACTATCATTAATAAAAGATACTACAAATTTAAATAGACTTTGGATCTACTCTACATGATGGCCAACGCGCAAAACGTCGCAGTCGTTATAGAACACATGATCAACGCTTTGCGTACCATGCCAACAACTGATGATGTATCGCGTAAATTATCGGTGAATAGAATCATTGAAGTGTCGGGAAAATATCCTTTCTTACTTTCACGAGCCTTTATATTCCTTTTATCATTATTATTATTATCATATTATTCTTAACATTATATATTGTGGTTTATACATTTTATCAAAGTTCTGAATGGTTGCTGAGGACTTTTGTTGTTACATTTGAAATTGCCCGCGACCTAATAAATGAAGAAATCCTTGATAATGTGTTCTCTATTATTTGCAAGAGTAAGAATTTACCATTTTTTACATATCAATAATATATGCTGAACTTGAGTAATTCCATTTTTGGCAGATTCCGATGACGGTAAAAAGGATGAAGAAATGCGCCGATGTGCTGTATCAGAAGCGACAAAGGTGTTAGAGAAGAATTCGAACGATCAGTCGGTTGACTTGTTATTGCTGGCTCTTAGGGTTGGTATTACGCCATAACGAACTTCCTAATCTAATTATTTTCATGCTGCTGCTTGAGTTCGGAAAAGATTTTCATTCTCGAATTTAACCCTAGATATTGGGCGAATTTCCTGATTATTGTGAAACTCCAGAAGAAATCATGGTAAAGATGGGTGAGCTTCTTGCGAGGAAAAATGGTAAACATAATTACTGGTATAATTTTAAATTATTTGATGTGAACGTTCATAGTTTTAAACACACGTATTCCTTAAAGCAAAACGCGAAATTCAGTCTCAAACAATCGCAACGTTGTTAAAATTTGTTGCAAAGTCGAAACATTGTCCCGAAAATGTGTTGGAAGCCGTCAATAAATGCATGCAATCGCCTTTCTGCGACGTAAAACAGGTTTGTCACCTTTATCGCTTGTCGTTAAGTGGACTTTGCGATTTCAACTAACAGCGTGTCTCTTTTTATATAATTTCAGAGGTGTCAAGAATTTATTGTTCTATCAAATGATTTTACCTTGTTGGATGAGATCATGAAGCCTGTTATGGAAGTGGATGATTTGGTGGTGTGTACACGTCAGTCTTGGTCATCGAATGTGTTCTTTAATATTTGTTGATTTCGTCTTAATCTTTAAGGTTGACGAATCATTGTCATTTTTAAATGATTTTGTTGAAGACGCTTTGAAGAATGGAGCAAAGCCTTATGATCCTATACCAATCGTTCACGAAAAACCTGCTTTGGGTAACAAAATAATTTAACTTTTTTCTTGGTCATTATTTTATTATTTTCTTATCGTGTCGCTTTTTCCCATTGAAAGCGGTGGAAATCAGATATGAAGCTTATGAAAAACCCCCCGTGGACACCAGATTATCCCAAATTGATAGAAATGTATTACCTTCTGGTAATCTTAATAGTTTGCCCTCTAGCCCTACAATGACTCCTGGTCAATTAGCTTGGTTAGGCGTCACGCATTCTGCTAGTTCATTAAGTACCCATCAAGAACATCCATATTCACATAATAAACAGACTTACTCGTTTGGAAATTTGCATGAGCATTCTTTATTGCTCAATAACTCACAAGAGTATTCATATGGAGAGTATGATGAGCATGATGCTATGTAAGAGGATTAATATATTTCTTTAACAAGGAGTTTGCACATTGAGTTTTTATTAAAATTTCCCTCGACTTGGTATACAGTATGAGGCAATCGACGACCTCACCTCGTCCGAAGTTAGCACTTACCACAAAATTTCAAAATTGGAGTCGATCAGGTTATAAGGTGAATCAAGGATCCTCAAAGTAAAGAGACGGTAATCATATACGCATCTATTCAATACAAAAAGATAATAATAGTAATTGATCTTATTTCGATCACAGGAAATCTTTAAACTCCCCAACTTTGTCATCCAGTACTGTAGATAGGTAGGAATTATTGTTAATCAATTTTTACTGATAAGTAAAATAACCACATTCTTTTATTTGAAAGTGATCTTAAATCCCCTTCGAGCAATGTCCATCCTTTCCTGAGAACATCAAACAAGGTAATTTTATATTCGCCATGCGATCAGATACCGCAGTCAATTCTTTTAACTCTTTGATATTTGATCCAGGCGGCACCAACAACTTCCGTGACCACTAAGACTATATTATCATCGGAGAAAGAACGATTAGCTTCGGCTTTATTTAGTGGTGTTGGGAGTTCATCGGTAAGCGGCACATTTTCTCCTACTTTATCAGGGAGTCATGACAATTCTAGCTCTTATCGAAAGAGTTTGGTAAGTTTATTTATTTATTATTCGTCTTAATAAATTTATAATAATATATTTGTTGAATGTAGCCTTTGAAGCATAAACATGCAGTTTCAGACATCCACGATCTCTCTTTTCTGCAGATTCATGGTAAGCATAATTACGGGATGATATATTAACATTACAATCATGATTCTCTTAAAGATAATCTCTTATTTTGTGGTGTTATATCATCAAGGAAATAATGTATTGAATGATTTAAAACCAATACAAATGACTACACAAGAATTTGCCGGATTTTGGACAAAAATGACTTATGAACGAAAGGAAGAAGTGATCGGAGAACTGGCAATAGATAATATGGAAGTTGTTAAGCGAAGATTAGAAAATGGATTAAATGATGCATTCGAAGCTGACATAGGCATTACTGGATTGCACGGTAAATTCTGTATTGTTGAAGTGATAGGTTAGTATTTTCTTCTATTCTATCTCATTTATCAGTCATTCACCATGTATTGACATTGGCATTTTACAGGCAATGAAGCAATAGCGGCTTCACAATACAAAAATCCATTGACTCCTGTTACCTCTTTTGGCATGTCAAATGGAAAATTGGTTTTGTTACATTTTAGGCTGCAGCCATCACTCTGTGCATATGCAATTAGAGCTGATCTGGAATCTATTGCAAACAGTATTTCCAAGGAGTTGAAACCATATTTCATGTCATATTGTATGGAAGAGAATCACTAATTATGTTGGGATTAAATTTAACTTATTTTTAGGTATTTGAAATTACTTTTAATGATGTTTTTGAATTAGATCTTTGTTTTTTTTAACCAGTAATGTTTTGCTAACATCAAAAAAATTATTTTATAATATAACTTGAATAATAGTAGTTATAATAGATTATTTGAATATTAAAGATCTTTGATAAAAAATAGGATTAAAAGTTATAAACATTTCAAATATAAATCATTTTACAAATTAAGTAATAATTATTTTTTAGGTGAATTATCAATTTGATTTTCAAATATTTATTATATTATATTAATTGAATAATCAAAAGTTTATCAATAATAATATATAATATGGAATTAGTTATCAATATTAAATTTATAATAAGCTTTAGCTATATGTTTCTTTAAATTCTTACTAAATTAAGAATTGACTTTAATTATAATACTTTTTATCAAAAATAGTTAATAATAAGAAAATAAAATACTGAACAACAGAATTTTTATTTTTTTTATTTTTTTATTTGGTCAAGGGCATTAGATATAAAGCTTTTATTAATAATCAATATTCTACTATTATATTAAACATCTTCACAAACTAGACTATTACTATCCTAGATATAAATTAATACTATCCAATGAATATATGCTTGCTGGACAAATTTTAAGATTTGGAATTTGACTAATAGAAAAAAATAGACAAATATGTTTTTTCAGTTATAATAAAAAACCCAAATGGACAAATTGAAAATTTGATAATTTGGCCTGGATAAATAATAAGTAATAAACAAAAAGATAAAATAAACAAAAATAAAATAATCAAATATTATCAAATATAATCATAATATATAACAAAAATAGTAAAATATAATGATTGTTTTATTTATTTAAGAATTATTATTGAAATAATTACTAGGAAATAAAATTACTATTCTAATTAGTCTATTTTAATTTTAATTAACTTTTTATAAATTTATTAAATTGTATTTATATAAATATTTTTGTTTATATACTAATATTTTTTCATGCTGCTTATTCAACTTTTTATTATTAATTGCTTTCCAGTTTATTTTTCTATAAACACTGTTGATATTATTAGAGTTTTGATTGATACCATTCAGTACGGTATTTCATAAAACCGATACTGAAAATATTTTTCAGTATCGGTATTGATAATTACTGAAAATTTTTGGTACAAAACTTTGCAATACTGATACCAAACCAAAAGTACCAAAATTATCAAAATTAAATAAGTTTATAACATATATTTATAATGTACAAAAATAATATAGCTCAAACATGTATATAAAGTTTCCAGTTTCACCTAGGAATTGATAGATTTGAACTTTATTTTATTAAATAAATAAATTAGCCTTTACAAAAACAAATTACCATTGTCTCTTTTGTCTAACCTCATACACCTCAGAATTGTACTAATTTGTATACCTCTAGAAACTTTAGCTTATTATATTGATCTCTTCTATCTAAAGTGTCTTCCTGTTATCAGTTCTCTATTTTTATTTTCTCCTGAATAGGGATCACAACAGTTCAAATCAAATTAGATTTTAGCTAGATTTGATTCAGTTCGTTTTTAAACATACAGTTCAAATTTGAATTGGACATAATATAGCTTGATTCAATTTGACTTAAATCAGATTCAAATTTGATTTTACTTGATTTGATTCAATTTGATTCAAACATTTTGTCAATATATATTTTTATTGAAGCATATTTACTTTAATT